GGAAACCAGCAGGACCTCTGTGCTGAGACTGAGAACCACCACAGTGCCTGCCCCAAGCCCAACCTCTGTGCAGGAAACCAGCAGGACCTCTGTGCCAGGAACCAGCCCAAGCTCTGTGCAGGAAACCAGTAGAACCTCTGTGCTGAGACTGAGCACAACCACAGTGCCAGGAACCAGCCATACCTCTGTGCCAGGAACGAGCCTAACCTCTGTGCATGAAACTAGCAGAACCTCTGTGCCAAGAACCAGCCCAACCTCTGTGCATGAAACCAGCAGAACCTCTGTGCCGAGACTTAGCACAACCACGGGGCGTGCAACCAGCCCAACCTCGGTGCTAGGAACCAGCAGGACCTCTGTGCCAGGGACCAGCCCAACCTCTGTGCAGGAAACCAGCCCAACATCTAAGGATAGAACCAGGACCACTTCTGTGCCAGGCACCAGCCCGAAATCTGTGCACGAAACCAGCAGAACCTCTGTGCCGAGACCGAGCACAACCATGGTTCCTAGAATAAGGCCTACCTCTGTGCCAGGCAGCAGACCAACCTCTGTGAAGGAAACCAGCCCAACATCTGAGGTGAGAACCAAGACCACCTCTGTGCCGAGACTGAGAACAACTACTCGGTCTGTAACCAGCCCAACCTCTGTGCCCAGAACCAGTAGGTCCCCGGTGCCAGGCACCAGACCAACCTCTCTGCAGGAAACCAGCAGAACCTCTGTGCCAAGACTGAGCACAACCACGGTGCCTGCGCCCAGCCCAAACTCTGTGCCAGGAACTAGCCCAACCTCTTTGCCTAGAACCAGCCCGACCTCTTCGCCTGGAACCAGCAGGACCTCTGTGCCAGGGACCAGCCTGACTTCGGTGCCTGAAACGAGCCCAACATCTGAGGAGAGAACCAGGACTACCTCTGTGCCCAGAACCAGTAGGACCCCTGTGCCAGGCACCAGGCCAACCTCTCTACAGGAAACCAGCAGAACCTCTGTGCCGAGACAGAGCACAACCACGGGGCCTAGAACCATCCCAAGCTCTGTGCCAGGAAGCAGCCCAACCTCTGAGATGAGAACCAGGACCACCTCTGAGCCAGGAACCAGCCCAACCTCTGTACAGGAAACCAGCAGGACCTCTGTGCCGAGACTGAGCACAACCATGGTGCCAGGAACCAGCCCAACCTCTGTGCCAGGAACGAGCCTAACCTCTGTGCACGAAACAAGCAGAACCTCTGTGCCGAGACTGAGCTCAACCATGGGGCCTGCAACTAGCCCAACCTCGGTGCCAGGAACCAGCAGGACCTATGTGCCAGGGACCAGCCCGACCTCTATGCAGGATACCAGCAGAACCTCTGTGCCGAGACTGAGCACAACCATGGTTCCTAGAACCAGCCCTACCTCTGTGCCAGGCAGAAGCCCCACCTCTGTGCAGGACACCAGCCCAACATCTGAGGAGAGAACCAGGACCACCTCTGTGCCAGGCACCAGCCCAACCTCTGTGCCTGAAAACAGTCCAACATCTGAGGAGAGAACCAGGACCACCTCTGTTCCAAGAACGAGCCCAACCTCTGTGCAGGAAACCAGCAGAACCTCTGTACTGAGACTGAGCACAACCACAGTTCCTAGAACAAGACCCACCTCTCTGCCAGGCAGCAGACCAACCTCTGTGCAGGAAACCAGCCTAACATCTGAGGTGAGAATCAGGACCACCTCTGTGCAAAGAACGAGCCTAACTTCTGTGCAGGAAACCAGCAGAACCTCGGTGCCAAGACTGAGCACGACCATAAGGCCAGCAACCAGCCCAACCTCTGTCCAGGAAACCAGCTCAACTGCTGTGCACAGACCCGGCACAACCTCAGCTCCTATAATCAGCACCACTTCGGTTCCTGCCCCTGAGATAACCCACAGCCCACCCGTGACCAACAAATGCCGCCCAAGGTGCAACTGGACCAAGTGGTTCGATGTGGAACTCCCGTCCCCCGGGCCCCAGGGTGGAGAGAATGAAACCTACAGCAATATCCTCAGAAGTGGAGAGAGAATCTGCCACCGGCCTGAGTACATCACCCACCTGGAGTGCCGCGCCGAGAGCCGCCCTGAGGTCAGCATCGACCAGCTGGGCCAGGTGGTGAAGTGCGACCCCGACGTGGGCCTGGTGTGCCGGAACCAGGACCAGGAGGGCCAGGACAGGGCGTGCCTCAACTATGAGATCCGTGTGCTGTGCTGTGAGCCCCGAGAAGACTGCACAACCCAGACACCTGTCACACATCCCAGCACCTCGAGCGTGAGCACCCGCAGCCACAAGACCACCTCCCACGTGGCCACATTCAGGACAACCACTCTTCCAGAAACCAGCCCGACCTCTGTGCAGGAAACCAGCAAAACCTCTGTGCTGAGACTGACCACAAACACGGTGCTTGCAACCAGCCCAACCTCTGTGCCAGGAACCAGCCCAACATCTGAGGAGAGAACCAAAACCACCTCTGTGCCAGGCACCAGACTGACCTCTGTACATAAAACCAGCCCAACATCTGAGGTGAGAACCAGGTCCAGCTTTGTGCCAGAAACGAGACCAACCTCTGTGCAGGAAACCAGCAGAACCTCTGTGCCAAGACTGAGAACAACTACGGGGCCTGGAACCACCCCAACCTCTGTGCGAAAAACCTGCAGAACCTCTATGCCTGCCACCAGCCCAACCTCTGTGCAGGAAACCAGCAGGACCTCTGTCCCGAGACTGAGCACGACCACAGTGCCAGGAACCAGCCCAACCTCTGTGCCGGGAACGAGCCTAACCTCTGTGCACGAAACCAGCAGAACCTCTGTGCCAGGAACCAGCCCCATCTCTGTGCCAAGCACCAGCCCAACATCTGAGGAGAGAACCAGGACCACCTCTGTGCCACGCACCAGCACAACCTCTGTGCAGGAAACCAGCAGAACCTCTGTACCGAGACTGAGCACAACCACGGTTCCTAGAACAAGACCCACCTCTGTGCCAGGCACCAGACCAACCTCTGTGCAAGAAAGCAGCCCAACATCTGAGGTGAGAGCCAGGACCACCTCTGTGCCAAGAACAACCCCAACCTCTGTGCAGGAAACCAGCAGAACCTCTGTGCCAAGACTGAGCACAACCACTCTGCCTGGAACCAGCCCAATCTCTGTGCCCAGGACCAGCAGGACCCTTGTGCCAAGTACCAGCCCAACCCCTGTGCATGAAACCAGCAGAACCTCTGTGCCGAGACTGAGTACAACCACAGGGCCTGGAACCAGCCCAACCTCTGTGCCAGGAAGCAGCCCGACCTCTGTGCCTGAAACCAGCCCAACATCTGAGGAGAGAACAAGGACCACGTCTGTTCCAGGTACCAGCACAATCTCTGTGCAGGAAACCAGCAGAACCTCTGTGCAAAGACTGAGAACAACCACTGTTCCTAGAACAAGACCCACTTCTGTGCAGGAAACCAGCCCAACATCTGAGGTGAGAATCAGGACCACCTCTGTACCAGGAACAAGCCCAACCTCTGTGCTGGAAACCAGCAGAACCTCTGTGCCAAGACTGAGCACAACTACTTGGCCTGGAACCAGTGCAACCTCTGTGCCGGAAACCCACAGAACCTCTGTGCCGAGACTGAGAACAACCATGGTTCCTAGAACAAGACCCACCTCTGTGCCAGGCACCAGCCCAACCTCTATGCAGGAAACCAGCAGGACCTCTGTGCCGAGACTGAGCACAAACATTCAGCCTGGAACCAGCCCCACCTCTGTGCCCAGAACCAGCAGGACCCCTGAGCCAGGCACCAGCCTGACCTCTGTGCAGGAAACCAGCAGAACCTCTGTGCCAAGACTGAGCACAACCACTCGGCCTGTAACCAGCCCAACCTCTGTCCCAGGAACAAGGCCGACCACTGTGCACGAAGCCAGCAGGACCTCTGTGCCGAGACTGAGCAAAACCACAGTGCCTGCAACCAGCCCTGCCTCTGTGCCACGCACCAGCCTGACCTCTGTGCCTGAAACCAGCCCAACATCTGAGGAGAGAACCAGGACCACGTCTGTGCCAGGTATCAGCACAACATCTATGCAGGAAACCAGCAGAACTTCTGTGTCGAGACTGAGAACAACCACGGTTCCTAGATCAAGACCCACCTCTGTGCCAGGAACCAGCAGGACCTCTGTACCAGGCACCAGTCCAACCTCTGTCCAGGAAACCAGCTCAACGGCTGTGCACAGACCCGGCACAACCTCAGCTCCTACAATCAGCACCACCTCAGTTCCTGCCCCTGAGACAACCCACAGCCCACCTGTGACCAACAAATGCCGCCCAAGCTGCAACTGGAGCAAGTGGTTCGATGTGGAACTCCCATCCCCCGGGCCCCAGGGTGGAGAGAATGAAACCTACAGCAATATCCTCAGAAGTGGAGAGAGAATCTGCCACCGGCCTGAGTACATCACCCACCTGGAGTGCCGCGCCGAGAGCCACTCTGAGGTCAGCACCGACCAGCTGGGCCAGGTGGTGAAGTGCGACCCCGACGTGGGCCTGGTGTGCCGGAACCAGGACCAGGAGGGCCCGGACAGGGCGTGCCTCAACTACGAGATCCGTGTGCTGTGCTGTGAGCCCCGAGAAGACTGCACGACCCAGACACCTGTCACACATCCCAGCACCTGGAGCGTGAGCACCCGCAGCCATGAGACCACCTCCCATGTGGCCTCATCCAGGACAATCTCTGTGCTGCAAACCAGCCCGACCTCTGGGCCGGGAACCAGCCCAACCTCTCTGCAGGAAACCAGCAGAACCTCCGTGACCCCCCATGTGACTTCATCTACCAATCGGTCACCCCCTCCACAATCCACTTCCTTGGCGTCTACCGTGAAGTCGCTCAGCTCCCCAGCATCCTCCCCCTCGACCTGCTATTGCAACATTTCCCAGAAAATCTACCCAGCGGGTATGTGACTTCTGCCTGTGGTGTGTGATGTGTGCTGAGTCTGGTCCCTGGTGTCCCATCCAGAAAAAGCCACCGTGTAATGGAGTGGGTTGTCTCTCTGACAGGGCTCGATGTTTTCTAGGGGACTGACAGTAAGCCCTCTTTGAGGATTTATTCCATTTGCATCTGGGTCAGAAGGCCACCTTCTGGATTGGCCCTCCGGTGGACCACCCGCCCTGTCAGAGCTGCTGCCCGCTGCACCTCCTCCAGCACGGCTCTGCTAACGCCCGCCTCTCCCTTCATCTCGCAGGATCCACCATTTACCAACAGACTGACCTCGATGGCCACTGCTATTCCGCAGTGTGCAGCCTGGACTGCCACGTGGTCAGGTGGAGCAACGACACCTGCCCCACCAGCGTGTCGCCTCCCGCCCCGTCTACCTCCTCGCCTGGGTCGTCCCCTTCGGCCCCCGTGCCTGACACTAAGCATGGATGCTCAAAATTTGTCCCCCCAAGAACGGTAACCTCCCCCTTCCAGCCCTTCTTGAGGGGCTCAGGGGCTAGCCCAGAGACCTCCAGAGTCTTTCCAGTTAGGTGACTTCAAGTGGGTGTGGAAGTGGGTGACCCCTGGCCAATGCAGGCTGACCATTGGGAAGTGGCCAGTTCTCGTCCTCCAGGGCTTCTAGTCGGGGGTGCCCGTCAGGGAGCCAGGAGTGTGGGCTCGAGGTTGAGACTCTGCTAGTTGCATACGACCAGAGGCCAGAGCGGGGTCGGTGGTCTGGACGGGGCCAGACAGCCAAGGAGGGTGTGGGGGATTGAGCAGAGCCAGGTGCGGGGGACAGGGTGGAAATGTGCTGAGAGGAGGGGCAACCTTCATAGCCGGAGACCCTCCCAGCCAGTTGGCCCTGCGTGTTGGTGGGGGCCGGGAGGGGACCTGGCGTGAATGCTGGGCCCTAGGGTACAGCCCTGGTCCCGGACCCCTGCCGGCCTCTCTCTGGGGAGGCTGCAGGCATCACAAGTCCCGAGAGCCGAGGGGAGGCCTGGGGTTGGTGCCCAGCGGGGGAGGCCCTGCAGCTGTCTCTGCTTCCACAGAAAGGTGAAACCTGGAACACGCCCAACTGCACTCAGACCACCTGTGAGGGCAACAACGTCACCACCGTGCGGCCACGCCAGTGCCCGAAGCAGCAGGAGCCAACCTGTGCCAACGGCTACCCCGCCGTAAAGGTGGTCGACCAGGACGGCTGCTGCCCGCACTACCAGTGCCAGTGTGAGCCGGCGAGCCGGGCCGGGCGGCGGGGCTGGGAGGGGGCTGTGCTGAGGCAGGACCAGACAGAATGGGGTTGGACACCGGGAAGGACTTCCCAACAGTGAGGCGGGGGATGAGTGGTGACCAGCACCCTCCGGGGGTGTGGGGTGGGATCCTGCCAGAGCCCCAGAGCCCCCGGCAGTGCCAGGCAGGAGAAGTGGAGTGGTCTGGCCCCACCTCTCAGGCCCACCAAGCACCTAACGGGCAGAGTTCTGGTGGGTGCTGGGCGTGTGGGTCCCCATGATGAGCCCGCGCAGCCTCCCCTGCCTCCCAAGGTGATGGGGACAGATGTGAGCTTTGGGGGGGCCCGGGCGGGGTGGCAGAGGCCCTGCATAAAGCGGGTCCTGGCGTCCACAGGTGTGTGCAGCGGCTGGGGTGACCCCCACTACATCACCTTCGACGGGACCTACTACACCTTCCTGGACAACTGCACGTATGTGCTGGTGCAGCAGATCGTGCCTGTGTACGGCCACTTCCGCGTGCTCATCGACAACTACTTCTGTAACGCCGAGGATGGGCTGTCCTGCCCGCAGTCCATCATTGTCGAGTACCAGCAGGACCGCGTTGTGCTGACCCGCAAGCCAGTCCGCGGGGTGATGACCAATGAGGTGGGGACACCCGCTGGCAGCTCCCACGTGTGCAGGGTGGGCAGGGCGGGGGCAAGTGGAGCTGACCACCCACCCTCACTCTGTTTTCCCCTCGGTTGTGTTGCGGTATCCAGATCATCTTCAACGGTAAGGTGGTCAGCCCGGGCTTCCAGAAAGACGGCATCGAAGTCTCTCAGATCGGCATCAAGATGTACGTGATCATCCCCGCGATCGGGGTCCAGGTCATGTTCTCCGGCCTCATCTTCTCGGTGGAGGTGCCCTTCAGCAAGTTCGCCAACAACACAGAGGGGCAGTGCGGTGAGCCCCCCGCCCTGGCCCCCCCCAGCTCCTCAGACACCCGGTCCTTTCCCTGGTCATTAAACGTCAATGAGAGTGTCCAGTGTGAGAAGGGTCGGCCTTGGGTGTGGCCCGGGGGACCGCCTTCTTGGCAGGGGGTGAGGCCGCCCACATGGCACGGAGCCTGTGAGTGTCTCTGCTTTCTGGCTGCACCAAGAACATGCCGGGCAGCACAGCACAGGGGTCCCGCTGAGGCTCGCACCTGTCCACCCTCCATGCGACCACCCCAGGGTCCGGCTTCTAGGGGATAAAGGGAAGCACAGAGAGGTCAGGGGGCGTGGGCAGGTCCCTCAGCTGACCCATCAAGAGATGTTGGGCCAGACAGCCAGCTCTGGGACACTGTGTCCTGCAAGAGGGTGGGGGCGGCTCTGCTGTCCCAGCAGCCTGACTCCCGCCTCCCCGCCCCAGGCACCTGCACCAATGACCCCAAGGACGAGTGCCGCCTGCCCGGGGGGGAGGTGGTGTCCTCCTGCTCGGAAATGTCCGGCCACTGGAAGGTGCCAAACCCCGACCAGCCGTACTGCTACGGGCCTCCCCCGACGCCCACATCCACACCCTCACCTGCCTCTTGCCCGCCTTCGCCAATCTGCCAGCTGATTCTGAGCGAGTGAGATTCCGGAGGGCCTGGGAGGTGGTGTGGGACAGGCGGGAAGAAGAGGGCCTGCAGCGAGCTCCCGAGGGAGACGGGGACTAGCGGAGGGGCGAGCCACCGTGGGCCAGCCACGGTGCAGTGCTCGGGCTCCAAGCAGAGCCGTCGCTGGTGGAACACCAGGCGCAGGGCTCTGCAGGGCCTGGCTGGCAGGTCGGCCTCTGAGGCTCTGCCGGCCAGCACACTGGGTCTGGCCATAAGTCATCACCAGGCAGCAGCCGGATTTGCAGGGCGGAGGGGGTGGCCCAGTGGAGAGTTTGGGAAAGAAATGGCCATGCTGCAGCCGACGCCCTTCCCAGTGCATGCAGACTGTCCCAGAGTGCGGGCTCACTCAGCACACTGGGGGCCCAGCGACTCCCCTCCCTCGGGGGCCCGCCCTGGGGGAAAGCCCCACGCCAGGCAGCCCCACGCCAGGCAGCCCCAGCGGGAAGCTGCCCCACGACTGGTGCATCCCGGTGCCACAGGGTCTTCGAGCCATGCCACTCCGTGATCTCCCCCAAGCCATTCTACCAAGGCTGCGTCTTCGACCAGTGTCACGTACCAGACCTGGACGTGGTGTGCTCTGGCCTGGAGCTGTATGCCTCGCTCTGCGCGTCCCATGGCGTGTGCATCGACTGGAGGGGCCAGACCAACCACATGTGCCGTGAGTGTCCGCCCCAGCTTTGGGACTCCCCCGTCCTGCTGGGCAATGGCAGTCAGTGTGTGGCGAGAGGACAGACAGGCTGGGCAGATGATGAGTGGGTGGGCTCGGGTGGCCAGGGTGGGCTTCCTGAAGGAGGAGGTGGGCTGACCCCAGGGCAGAGTGCATTTGGTTCCTGGAGAGAAAGGAGGGGCTTCCAGGTGGGGCCGCCCAGGCCTGGGTGCAGAGGAGGCAGTTGTGGTTCCAACAGGCCGGGCTGTGCAGGGGTGCGTGGAGCAGTGGAGCCTGAGGGGCCCAGCTTCCAGGCCAGAGCCCCCAGCGCTCAGCAGACGCCTGGGGCTCAGAGGGGGGTGTTGGAGTTCACTCCTGGCTGGTGCCCTCTGGCCTCAGCTATGGCTTCTCCCTCCCCACAGCTTTCACCTGCCCTGCCGACAAGGTGTACCGGCCCTGTGGCCCGTCCAACCCCTCCCACTGCTATGGAAACGACAGCATCAGCCTCCTGTACGCACCTGCCCCCTCCCTCCCGGATCCCCCAGAGCCCTCAGGGGCCCCCAGGCTGGCCCCTCCCTGCCCTGGAGGGCACAGGGGCCAGGCCAACTGTGCGCTCCCCCCACAGGGCCCTTCAGGACACTGGCCCCGTCACGGAAGGCTGCTTCTGCCCAGAGAGCATGACGCTTTTCAGCACGAGCGTTGATGTCTGCGTGCCCACTGGCTGCCCTAGTACGTCCCCACGGGCCGGGCTTGGGGCTGGCAGGGTGCACCCTCTACCTGAGTGCCAGGACACACTGCCCTCTTGGGGTCTGTGCTTCTAGTCAGACCCTAGGTCCACCTCAGCCCCTGAAGTGGGTCCTGCCCCTGAGGGGCTAGGGGCTGTGGCTGCCCAGCAGTGACCTCCACCTCTCTCCCTGCAGGATGCCTGGGGCCCCACGGGGAGCCTGTAGAGGTGAGTGTGGCAGGCTTGGGGACCAGGGGCTTCATTTCAGCGCCAGAGGCTCAGAGGAGGGGCAGCGAGGGGACAAGACTTCCCCAGCAAGACTCAGGAGGCCTCAGTGGGCAGGAGCCCTCGGCCCTGGAAGAGTGTGTGGTTGCTGGCTGACCTCCACTGGGGGCCCCTCCTGCTCTGCTCGGACATTGTAAAGGCGGAGGCGGTGGGGACAGGGGCCAGTCACCCACACAGCCCCCACCCGCCCTGTCTCCTGGTCCCCGGGGGCCTCCACCACCCTGCACTTGAAGCCCCTTCCCTCAGGTTCCCCCACGGTCCCTCAGCCGTGGCCTCCCTGCCCCCCCTCCCGGCTGCAGCTGCCCCCGGGACAGGCAGGGGGCCAACGGCCGGGGCTCACGTGTGCCTCCCCTTGCAGCCCGGCCACAACGTCAGCATCGACTGCCAGGAGTGCACCTGCAACGGGAGCACGTGGAGGATGAGCTGCCGCAGCCAGCCCTGCCCACCGCCCCCCACCTGCTCCGCACCCGGCCTCGTGCCTGTGCCAGCGGCCCCAGAGGCCGGCCAGTGCTGTCCTCACTACAGCTGTGGTGAGCGCCGGGCTCGGTGGGGGACAGGCCGCTGCTCCCATGCCTGTGGGGGTCACACACGCACTGGCCCAGGGCTGGCTGGCTTTGCCCAGGAGGGTCCTGTGTGCTGGCACCTGGGAGTGGGGCACAACCAAGGAGGATGGGACAGCACCCCCCCACTGCAGCCTCATCTGGTGACCCCAGCTGGCATGCTCTGGGAGTATGGGTGTGCCAGGGAGGGCAGGGGGCTCCTCTGCCCAGGCTGACAGGAAGCCTTGTCCCCAGGGTGGCCCACGCCCCCTGGAGAGCCCACCACCAGCCCCCTGGGCGGTCAGCACTGCTGGAGACCCCTGGGGGTGACATTAAGGCCGGGGAGGGGGGAGAATGTGTGCAGAGCGGGATGCAGGTCCCCTGAGTGGCCCCTTCCTGCCCTCCACAGTCTGCAACAGTAGCCACTGCCCTGCGCCCCTGGACTGTCCTAAAGGGTCCCGTCTGATCCTGACATACGAAGAGGGGGCCTGCTGCCCGAGGCAGAACTGCAGTGAGTGTTCCGGCCCAGTGGCCCACACGGTGCCAGGCCGATCCCTGACCATCTCTCCAGGCCACATGTTGGCGCTGCAGGCTGGGCACCCAGCCTCGCTCGGGGGTGAAACCAGAGGAGTGGAGGCTTGCCCACCGCTGGCCTGTCGCCCTGGGGCTGGGACACTCTAGCGATAAGTGTGGGCGCATGTGTGCTCAGGAGGCCGGCGGTGGTGGGAATGGGGCAGGGCAGGAGGGCTGGATGAGGTGAGGGCGGGGTGAGGGTGCGGGAGGCTGAGGGCGGGTCTCGTGACAAGAGTGGCTGTGTGTCTCCTGAACAGGCTGGACCGTCTGCAGTGTCAATGGTACCTTGTACCAGGTAGGAACCCACCGAGGTCAGGACCCCTGGGGAGCACGGGACACTGCCAGCTTCTCCCCGAGACTGGGTCTCCCAGCAGCACCTGGGCCCCTGCGGGTTCAGTGGGGAGGGACTCTGGAGAAGCCATGGGCTCTCCTGGGACCACAACTCAGGTCCCGATGTGACAAGGCCTCCTAGCCTCAGTTTCTCCCAGCCGGGCCCTCTAGAGCACGTGACCTCCATGGAGGCACAGCCTCGAGGCTCTGCCAGGAGGTGTCACCGAGGGTCACCCCAGGGTGACAGGTCGGCCCAGTGGGGGCTAGGCCTGGACGGGAAGGCAGGGGCCCCAGGCCCGGTCGAGCTCACTAACGCTGCCCGCACTGACTTTCCCCAGCCCGGCACTGTGGTCTCCTCAAACCTGTGTGAAACCTGCAGGTGTGAGGTGCCCGGCGGCGCCCAGTCGGACACGTTCGTGATCAGCTGTGAGACCCAGATCTGCAACACCTACTGCCCCGTGGTGAGTGCCCACTGACACCCCCGCTGCCCCTGCGCCCCCTGAGCACCCGGCCGGGGCTCAGGCCGCACGTCCATCCCTCCTCTCCAGGGCTTCGAGTACCAGGCTCGGAGCGGGCAGTGCTGTGGTGTGTGCGTGCAGGTGGCCTGCTTCATGAACGCCAGCGACAGCTCTGTCCACCTCTTCTACGTGAGTAGTGGCTACAGGGGGCAGCTGGGGGGCCTCTGGGCCTTGGGGTGAGTCCTGGGTGGGGTGGCCCACGGGATCCAGATAGGCTGGGGGCAGAGCCACTACACTCCCCTACCAGGTGTTCCAGGGAGGCTGGGGCCCAGGGCCAGGCCTCCCCATACGGAGAGCCTGTGAGGTGCACATTGACAGTGGGGGCTGAGTAGGCAGGGTCCTGGCATTGGGGCCCCTGGGCAGCCGTCATTGCAGGACATACACCTGCCCGAGTCCAGGGGGACCACCTGGAAGCCCACAGACTAGGGGGACAGACAGACAGATGTGGGGCCCTCCCTGCCGCAGAGGGAGGGACACTCACCCTGCTGGCCGGGCCTTCTTGCAGCCTGGCAAGTCCTGGTCAGACCCTGGCGACCCCTGTGTGACGTATGAGTGTGAGAAGTACCAGGACGGGCTTGTGGTGGTGACCACAAAGAAGGCGTGCCCTCAACTCACCTGTCCCTCCGTGAGTTCTGGGAGCCCCCTCCCCCCTTTGCCCAGTGTAGGCCGACAGGCCTGAGCTCCTGGACGGGAGTGGGGAGCCGCCCCTGCAGTGCCGGCATGAGCCTGGCCCGGCGCCCCCATTCCCCCACTTGTGGGTGGGCTTCTGAGAGGCCTCCCTGGCACTAATGGCACCCCCTCTGCCGGCACAGGACCAGGCTCGGCTGAGCGAGGATGGCTGCTGCCTCTCCTGTCCCCCGCCCCAACCCCAGACGAGTGAGTGGGCATGGCCCCTGGGGGTGGGGGCTGACTCCCGCCTGGGAGGCCCGGCTAGTCCTGACCTTCTGCACCGCCTCCCGTGTCCTCCCCAGGTTTGGCCTGCACTGTCCACGAGAAGCACGAGGTGATCCAGCAGCAGGGCTGCAACTCCTCGGGGCCCGTGCGCCTTGCCTACTGCCGGGGCAACTGTGGGGACACCACCTCCATGTACGTGAGCCCCTCACTCAGCCTGGCGCAGACCCCGTCTCCCCCGACCCCCAGAGGGCTCCAGTGGGGCAGGGTTCAGAGAAGATGTAACTGACATGTGGCACAGTCGGGCTGCCCAGGGCTCAGGGTGCTGGGCAGATGAGGGGTGGGACCATGAAGGGACAGGAAGGGGGAGCAGTAATTACGACCACAAGTGGCCCGAGGGGGAGGCAAGGGGCAAGCCGTGGGGTTTGGAGGCCGGGCTGAGGGGCTGGGGCCAGGGTCCAGAGGCCTGTTTGGAATCAGGCTCCTCTGTTTACTAAGACCCCAGACTCAGTGTCCCCCTTGGGGACTTGCTGGAGCTGGGCCTACAGGCTAGCGAGAGCCCACCATGCGTCCCCCCCAGCCCTGTGATCAGCTGCGGCATGCTGTCAGCCACAGGAGCGTTTACACCACAGCAATGGGCACATGAGAGCTGTTTGTTACCTCCGGCCAGCGCACCTCTGGGAGCTTATCGGCTGCAAGCTGGCTGGGTGGTGACTGCTGGGGTCTGCAGCTGGTGGGCTCGGGGCAGCTGCTGGCGTGGCACCTAGCTGAGCGGGCCCTGCCCACAGGTACTCCCTGGAGGCCAACGCAGTGGAGCGCAGCTGCATGTGCTGCCAGGAGCTGCGGGTCTTGCTGAGGAACGTGACCCTGCATTGCGCCGATGGCTCCAGCCGGGCCTTCAGCTACCCCCAGGTGGAGGAGTGCGGCTGCGTGGGCCTGCACTGTGACTCCCACGGTGACCGCTCAGAGGAGCTGAGGCCCGTGCAGAGCAGAGCAGAGCAGAGTCAGGAGAGAGAGCAGACGCGCCAGAGAAGAGGGGCCCGGGGGCCTGGGCCCCACCAGTAGACGCCCGGCGCCCTGTCCTCAGGGCCCAGGGTGGCGTCCCTCCTGGACTCACCAACAGGGACGTCCTCTATTCCCTGTGATCTCAGCTTCCAAGGCCAGTGGAACCTGAGCCCTCGTCCGGGTGACCTGAGTCTAGGATGCACTGTCCACCTACCTCTTCCCTCTCCAGGGTCCAGCGGGCCCTGGACATGCAGTGGCTCTGACCGACTTGCAGCCACCTGCTCGGGACCAGCCTGGGGCAGGCAGGCTCCTCTGGCCGTGGGTCCAGCCTGCTCTTCTAGACTTAAGTACCACGTAAGGGTCTTATCAATGATGGTCACTCGGACATGGTGATTGGCTGCTCAGCCGGCCACCAGGAGGCAAAGCCTCCCCTATCTCGGCCCTGGGCCAGTTTCATAAATATACTTGGAGCATTTTGCAACTCATGGACTCTGTGTGATCTGTAAGCTTGTCCATAGAACCCAGGAACGGGGTGGGGGCAGACCTGGGAAGAGGCCAGCTGCCCCACACTGGGCAGCCTGGGGAGGGCCACCTGCTGCCTCCGTCTGCTGGTGGGAGAGCGTCCATCCACTGGGACGGACAGAGGGAGTGAGTGGAGGAGTGGATGAGGGAGAGTGTGCCCCGCCTGGGCTTCAGGACGTTTACCTACCCAGCTGACCACATCAGATGCAAGAGGGCTGCACCTGGCGGACGGAGCCTCCTGGGGGAGCCTCCATCTCCCTCCACAAAGCTTCTGGACCCACCCATCACACAGATGCTGAGCTTGGTGTGTGTGTGCATGTGCACAGGGAGGCCCCCGGGAGACCAATGCCCCGCAGAGGGGTGGACGCCACCTCAGGAGTCTGTCACTCCCCTCGCCCGGCCACCCTCACCCCTGCCCTGAGAACATCTATGTTCCTAAAGCCCGCCCGTCTTCCTTGGGTGGAGGGGGAGCCCCCACACTCCCAGCAACATGCCGGCCTCAAGCTGATCCTCGGCCCCCCAGGAGCACCAGGAGGGTGGGCAGGGCTGGCCCCTCGCTCGGAGGAGCTGGCCGGGGCTCTGGAGGCAGTGCAGGGCGGGGGTGGGGTGTGGAGGGAGCCCACCGCTTGGACAGGACCAGCACAGGGAGCAAAGAGGGGCAGGGCCAGGGAAGCCCGTGGTCAGCCCCGGGTCCAGGCCGTGTCCTGCACAGGGCTTCCCAGGGGGTCCCGAGCTCCCCCAGCCCGAGTGTGGGGAGGGGGCACTCAGAGCTGACCAGCCAACAGGGCCAGGCGGCAGCTTGCTGACCCTGGTCATTGCTGGGACATCGGCCTGGGCTGGACACTGACGAGGAGGGGGACTGGCAGGCTGGACAGTGCCGGCCACAGGGGGACATCCTGTGGATGGACACTGGGCAGGGGGCAGATGCCCAACCAGGTGTCCTCCGTGACAGCAAGATGGGATGGGCTCACTGTCCTCCTGCCTGCACCACAAAGGGAAACTGAGGCCTGTGGAGGGCGGAGTGCCGCAGGTCAGCAGCAAGGACACAGGAAGCTGGTCCCACGTCCCCTCGTCTGGGTGGGCAATTTGCCCCGCCCTCGTCCTGGAATTAGATGCCCACTGCCTCCACCTCACACTGCCTCACTTACAAGACCCATGCCCGGCCTGGGGTGGGGCGGGCGGCACTAACCTTCCAGCTCCAGAACGCGGCCGCCACCAGGTGGCAGCACACCAGCCCCTGCGCCTGGAGCCGGCCTGGGGCTTGGGTCAGGGTCTCCGTTTCTGTCCTCAGTGGCTGGGCTGTCCCTCAAGGCCAGCCCTGCCCCCAGCATGGCAGGGGAAGCATGGAGGGGAAGGGGCTGCCTAGGGTCTCAGGGCCACAAGGCCCCTGGGTGAAGGCGGGGACAGCCCTTTATAGTCTACGTGGCACACCCACCTGGACAGCGTTGCCCCCTCCACCCCTGCCCACCCTGTCCTGCCATCCAGGTCTGAGCATGAAGCGCCTGGGTGCCCTGATCCAGTCCCCCAGCTGTCGCCTGACGTGGCCGTTTGCTTGGGCTGTGTGGGCAATGGAGCTGACCCCTTCTGTCAGCGACCAGGTTGGGGCAGAGGGGATCCTGCAGCCATGACCTTGTGACCCCTCAGGGCCAGGCCAGCCCCTTGGGCCCAGGAGACAGCCTGAATGTGAGGTGGACAAACCCGGCCATGGGGGGGCAGGTCACTCACCGCGGCTCCCAAGGGACGCCCTGCTTGGAAGCAGGAAGTTCTGGGCCCTCGGGCTCTGGGAGCCGCTGCTCCAGTGACCGGCTGACCCCACAGCCATGGGCGGCACCCTAATCAACGCCACTACCCCCCCGAGCGGATTGGGTGTCCGGCTGGCCGCCTCTTCCTCTCCGGTGGGATGGACCTGCGGTGACTAATCCTGCACCCCCCGGGGAGCACCCCCGCCCCACCTGGACTGAGGCCGGGCAGCAGGAAGTAACCAGAGAGTTACCCCCCACCCCTCCCCCGCCACCGCAGCCCCTGGCCGGTTCTGCAACCTATTGTGTCCAGAAAGAGCCACAGAGCTGGCATGGCTCATCAAGGCTGCCATGGGGCTCTGCCCACAGGTGAGGCTCCTCCCGGCCTCGGCCTGGGCCTCTTACCCCTCCTGGACACCGGGGGGGGGGGGACATCTTGTCATCTTGCTAGGGTGGGGACATGCAGCTGCAAGAGGCTCCAGAGGGCCAGGGCTGGCCTGGGCAGCTCACAACCCCGCCTCCCGCAGCCCCCTTGGAGTCAGCCTCTGGGGGGCATCCGTTCGGGTGCTGGATGAGATGCTCATGGTTCTGAGTCTTGCTCCTGTCTGATGGAGAAGGGTGTCCCACCCTCTGGCTTGAGGGCCCAGGTTGGGGGCCAGCTTATGCCCAGATAAAGGGATGCCAGGCGCTCTCGGAGATGGAAATGCAGTGGGCAGGGACACAGGACACCGGGGAGCCTGTGACCGCGGTGGGCAGGTCGGGTGGCAGCCACCTCCTGACCTCTGCCCCCAGCATGCCCACCCCACGCCAGAGTCCCAGCAGCTGGCCCAGTCCTGGGCACACGCAGGCCGCAGCTCTGATCCCTTCAGCCACAGACCTGGGCTCTGGGCAGCGGGCTGACTCTCAGAGAGACCAGGGGTGTCCGGCACCTGCCTGGCTGGGGGCAGAGCGATGGACACAGTGGTGTCAGGGGTAGCCAGCTACACCCTGGAAGCAGAGACCCGAGAAGGATGATCTGGTTGCCGGGTGAGGACTTTCTGGCTTGGGGCAGGGGCAGGAGGGCAGGTGGCAGGCGCTGGCCAGCCACCCCGTGCACAGCTCCTGCTGGATGCTGGACACACGCATCTGCCCTCGCGGTGCACCGGGTGGCCAGGATGGCCTTACAGATGGGCGAGACAATGAGGGTCGCCGGGCTGGCAGCGGGCCGGTCCCTGCGTGAGGCCTGGACACATCTCAGCCCAATGACACACCTTGTGCGCAAGAAGCTGCAGGAGAAGCGACCGCCTGAGAAAGCTCCGGAAGCAGCGACAGCTGGCGCGGCCGGACCCCAGGCAGCCCCGAAGTCAACGCCGTTTCTCCACACCCTCTGACGCCACGGGAATGCCGTCAAAACGCACCGAGCTCTCGGAACAGGAGCCGAACACGGCAGGCGCGGCTCCGAGCGTCCCCGTGATTGAGCGTGTGCCCCGACGAGCTGCGCGGGCGCGGTCCTCCGAGGAAGCTGGCAAACTCATTGCAGAGTCTGCGAGGACGTCAAAGATCCTCAAATATCCGGGTCAGCTGTGACAAAGAAGAGCAAAGAGGGCGCTGCCTGCCAGCCGGCGGCTTCCCGCCAACCTGAGAAGCAGGGGGCCCTGGAGGTGTGCAACATGGTGGCCCCCGTGGACTGAGGGAGCCACTGCCCCGAGGGAGAGCCTGCTCACCAGGTGGTCGCCGGCTCCTGTGCCCCTGCTCGCAGACCCCGGAGTGCTGGGTGCGGGGGTCACAGCGCGAGCCGGGCCAGCAGAGTGGACAGATCACTCGGAAGAAGACCATGTGCTGGTGCCACGGGGAGTTAAGCGGGAAGGGAGAACTGAGAAGCTGGGTGGATGTCTGGATTCGGCGGCCGACCTATGAGGGCGGGAGGGAGCCCGGGCACGTCTGGGGTGGGAGGCAGTGGTCTGGGTGGAGGTGATTGAGCTCTGCCTTGTCCTTCAGATGACCTCCTCCCCAAGATTGGGCAGCTGGGGGAGGGGCTTGGGGGGGGACAGGAGCTCCACTGATCTCTAGACGTCCCAGTGGATGGGTCGGGTGGGCAGGTGGATGTGTGGGTCGGCGGCAGGGCAGGAGCCAGGACTTGCTGGGCTGTAAAGATAGAGAATGTTGGAGATACGTGGAGCTTACAGCTCTTCAACTGTGGGGTCCCCAGAGAAGTGAGTGCAGATGGAACAGAGGGAGGGGAGGGGAGAGGGGAAAGAAGGGAGGGAGGGAGGGGAGAGAGAGGGAGGGGAGACTCCGGATGGGAGCTGGGAGGGGAGGGGAGTCCAGGGGTCAGCGTAGGAGAGGTGGTCTGGAGGCAGAGCCGGGAGGAGAGGAGTGCAGGTGGGTGGAGCGGCCAGAGGGCAGGTGGGCCTCCTCCCGCTCTGGGCTCCAGGTTATTCAGGACCTCGGAGGGGAGGACCCGAAGCCACAGAGATGACGTGGGAGGCGGTTTCTGTGACCCGGAAGTGGGGAGCGCTCCCTTCATGGAGATTTAAAACATGTGCTGTACACAACAACTGCGGGCTTTAATGACGTAAGCCACAGATTTGTGTTCACGTCCCAGTGCGCAGGGTGACCCGGAGGGGAGAGGCCAGGAGCAGGTGTCTGCGGGGACGCTGTCTGCATCGGTGACTTTCTCACCGTAAGCTCATAAGTCACCTGGAGGCTCCCAGCCAGGTTTCCGCTTCTTTACAGACAGAATGAGAATAAAACTTCGGTGTCTCTGTTATAAAGCCTGTGTGTCCCGGGAAAAATGTATTTATGACTGAAGTTCCAAAGACTGTGGACCGCGTGACCTGGAAGATGTACAGAGCTGCAAATCAAAACTGACCTAAAACCACACAGAGGGTGCAATTTTGCACGTTTCCGATGGGGGAGCAGGGGCTGGGGGGTGACGAGATCGTGAGAAACTGCCTGACCGGTGACCAGCCCCTGGGGCTCAGGACCTCCGCTTGCCCAAGGTCCACCCTAGGGGCCTCAGGGGCCCAAGCAGGGAGCTGCCTGGGTGGGGCTGGCAGGAGGTGTCCAGGGAGGGTCCTCAGGACAGGTCAGAGCTGACGCAGCCAGATGCCAGCCGGCCCCACCTCCAAGGCAAACAACCTGGGCAGTCCCCAGTGGGGCTCAGGAAGTCGGTGCCTCGGGCAGAGAGTGGGTGGCTGAGCCCACTCCCCAGTCAACAGGCTCCGAGGGGGCCGCCCGT